AGTAATTAATAATACTTTGAAGACAAGAATTTAAAAATTAATATGAATTGGAATTTCTAAAAATTTAATTTATAAATAAATTGTTTATTTATTATTTTATAAAATGACTCAAATTTGAATCATTATAATAAGGTGTAGATTTTGTTGATCACCTCATACAAATATAAATTAATTCATCAGAATTAATCAAAAAATATTATTTTTAGTGCTGCAGCCATTTGCTTCAGATAGGCATTCAACATTCCAAACTTTCCTGTATCGAAGAGATACACTGGAATAAATGTGAGAGTTGATGGTATGAAGATGGGTGCAGTTCCTTGCCCTTCGGACTATTTATTCTCCACTCTTTGATTTGATTGGGATAACCTAATCGCAGCAGGATTTGATGCACCCAAAATAGGATTGCTCAGGATTTGTGATGCTTTCACAACCTCCTCAAACCCAAAAAGATAATAATCAGTTGTTCAAACATCTGAATAATGATTGGATTTAATAGCAATACATGACAAAGATGTTTAAAACTAATTTTGAATCAGAATCGTTAGTTATAATTTTTCCAGATTCTAGGAATTTAAGGACTCTAAAAATTAATTTTATAGCTCTGAAAAAATCTGATATTTTTAAACATTTCAAATTGTAATTAATTTTTTTTCATTATTCTTGTTCGTTTAATTTTAAATAATAATTTACAATTTTATGATGACTGTTTTTTAATTTAAAAAGTCTTAGAGACAAATTAGAGCGATTTCTATTAAATAACTTTTGTATCCTTTGTACATATCTTTAGATTTGTACAAAATTTACATCTCATTTGATATTTAATTGTAAGTTTGTTTGTTGGTCTTCCATATTTACTTTATAAATCTGTTTTTATACATAGCTTTTTATCTATTTAATTTCCAATATTATTGCAAGAAATCTCCTTGACTAATTCTTATACTCTATTATGATATTAATTTTTTTGAATTCTTAATATTTTATGGATGCACTTTTTAGAATTGATAATGAATAAATCAAAAAATTTGCAATTTACTTTAATTATATCTTCTTAAATTGTTTTAGTTTATTAATTATAGTAAAAATTTGAATGAAGTTTCTTTGTGAACTATTTTCAATCAATTAGGGTATCCTGATTGATTGCAACCTATATATTCTTTTGCTTTACATTTGATTCTTAAAAACTAATTAATTCTTAATTTTTGCATCCTAATATTGTCATATGATTACTAATGAAATAATAAAAAAGCATTTAAGAACAAAAATTAAAATTTTTAACTTAATTGCATAATAAGCATTAATAGTATGCAGAATTATTCAATAAGATAAAAATTTATGCTTCTGGAAATATTTCAGTTACATTATAATTATAGATTAACAGAATATAGATATTAAAAGATTATAAATCTTATTATTATTA